TATTATATTATTAAGAATTATGGATATGAAAGAAACACTAACCTTTAAGAACTATTACATCCATGAATTAATAAAACCCACTGTAAAATCAATAAAGTTAACAAAATAAAGACCACGTAATAAAGCAATTTTAAGTAACAAACAATAATATATCTGTCGAACAAGGCACGTGTGTTGTTGTTATTAATATTGCTACGTAAACTTTTTTAAATGTTGTTCGGCAAAATACGCCAAAATACGACAAAATATAAGTACAAATTAATCGTTCCGAATGGGATATGATCTAAACACAACCTTTTGATACATGTTCGCATTAGTAGTTCAAGTTATAGCTTTTAAAATAAACATGAAGAAAAAAACAGCAGTAGAAAAGAGTTTTTGATGTTAATAAGCTTGAGCAAGTTTAAATTTTTTTGTTTTAAAATGCGTTGCTATGGCGTTGCTACGGACTTCTCAATCTACTATGGCCACAAAACACATAATTGTACACACTTCCTTATTTATTTATTAAAAAAATAACTAATAATATTATTCTATGAAAAATTTTGAATTTAAAAAACCAATTTTCAAAAAATTGATTTTTTCTAAAAAATTTTGAAATTAATGGGGATGTACCACTTTAACTTATATTATGACTTTATATTTTATATATAATTTTATATTGTACGAATTAATGCAAATATTCGTTTTATGTTATACTTTTTATACAAATGTATTATATGTTTTATAGTTTATACAATATGATTTTGTGGTTTATCCTCCTCCGGCTAATTGACATATAGAAGTTACATACCGAGGCCTGCGAAGGCAAGTCCAGTTCACTAAAAAGGATCAAAACCCGCTTGGACGGACCAAGACTAACTGAGTTTTAGGAAAATCAGAAGTTGCTAAAAAAGTTAGAAGGAGTCGAGTTGATGGGGGCTGTCTATTTTTGTCCAAAACTCATTTTCTATATACATGCTTAAAAACACATGTTTTTAAGCATGTATATAGGGTGATTGACGTGAAATGTAGGTTTACAATAGGAATAATTCATAAATCAACTAAACTACATTTTTAACAGCATTATATAGACCAACAATCGGTAACTACAATTAATTCAAAAACCACTTAAAAAGTTTGTTAAACAAATAGGAAGAATTAAACATGCATTTGAATATATAGATGAAAGTATTATTAGCTTATTATACAAACCATTAGCTTGTCTCCATCTCGAGTATGGGGCAGTTATTTGGAACTCCCATTGGAAAGGAGATATTAATAGACTTAAAAAGTTCAAAATAGAGCGACCAAAAATCATGTCTAGTCGTAAAGAAAGAAATTTTAAATTAAAATTCCCTTCATTAAAAAACAGAAGAAGGCGGGGTTTAATCCAAATGTTCAAATTAGTAAAACGAATTGACGAAATAAGTTTGCATAACCAAATTGAATATTCTATTACTAATAGTCAAGCTAGAGGTCATAATTTAAAAATGCATAAGGAGTAACTAAAAAAAAAAATTACAAGTTTAACACAATCATACAAAAATTTTTCAAAAAATTTTAATAGAGTTTTATATGACTGGAACGCACTGACACAAGAAATCATCGAGTCAACAAACGTAAATCAATTTAAGAACCACATTGATATATACTTTAAATTTTAACCTCAAATCTCAGATCTTGTATATTGCTTTTAATCCTTGTTAAATTTTTTGACTGTTATAGACTGAAGCTCTACGTAAATTCAGTTTCAACTCTTATGAGTTACAGCGTCATTTCTAGAATTATAACTATATATAGTTCTATAAATATAATTTGTTTGCTGGTAAAAAATACGTTTACTTTTTGGGTGATTTCGATTTGAATTTTTTTGAATATCAAAGCAGATGGCCACTTTATGTGTTATATAAATACACTTTTGCACTTTTTTCCGTGATTAAAAAGCCAACATAGAGACTATAAAAAACGGCATCAATTTCAGATAATATTTCTACTAATAATTACAAAAGCGCTAAAATCAAAAGTGGTAAAAAAAAAAATTAAAAAATTTGATAATAATAAAACCGTTGAAGCGGTCACTATTATTAAGAAATCTCTTTTTATAACTTTAAATCTTTTTTTTTAATCTTTCCATCAATTAAAAATTCAATTCTTTGTTTTAAAAATGCGTTTTATCATTGTAGTATTTAGGTTTCTTTTAAATATTTTAACCAAAAATATAAAAAACAAAGACACACAAGAAAAAAATACACATCTTTTAGTCAATTTTTATAATTAAATTTATCAATTAAAGAATCTTGCATTTTTTTAAAAAAGCAATAAAAGTTGTTATATTTTACTTCTACGTATATTACTTTAGTGAAACAACGAAAAGATGTTTTCCGAGTTAGCTTGCTTTTTGAACTTGACTATAATATATTTCTAGCTTTTATTTCTCTTAAATATTGTATAAAATATTCACATAAGACAAAAAATAAACCAATTTTTGATTAAATAATATTGTTGCGTATTATTTATGTAGAGTGTTTTAAAGAAACAAAAGATTTTTTATGCGTAAAGATTGCATATAAAATTTTGAAAAAGATAGGAAGATTTTTATGTATAAAGATTGCATATAAAACATTTTTATAAAAATTACATGTTATATAAGCAGTAGCTGTGTCAGATTATAATAATTTATCTCAACATGACATTAGAAAACACATTTGATCTGAATATTCTGTAAAATAATAATAAGTTAACTTGCTTGGTATGATACTTACAAAACGCACACATATACACGAACAAATTTCCCATTTGGCAGGATTGGTTGAAAAATACGGTATACAGTTAAAAATTTTATTGTATAGCATAATTCTTTACTTTATTGGTAAATCAAAAATACCGTAGCAAAGTTGTGGCGAGTGAGATTCAAGTCTTAAAAATACTTATTTAAACTTAGCGGCGGAATTTATGACCTCGAAATCTTTAGTTCTTTATTTTTTTGCTAACTAATTTTTAAAAAGTTCAAACTTAGCAAAAATGTTTCTTTACGTTTTGCCCTCCATTAATCAATAATAATCAATAATATCGCTAAATCAAGAAAAAATTTTAAATAACTGCAAATATTCAATCAAGTCTTTTTATATACAATTTTACAGTTTTCAGTAACATGTGCAACAATATAGGACACTTAGAAGACAAAAAACCCTCCTCCCTTAGTGATGAACGTGCAACAATGTTTAGCTTTAAGCTTGTTTATTACGTCATGCAATAAGGGGAAGGGAGGGTTGTTGGTTTTGTGACGACTCATACAAAACTTGCTTCTTAAGTGTAACGATTTTGTGAGGATGGGGGAGATCAAAAACGGTCAAAATTGCGTGATGTAATTTATGGACAACCCCTTAGTTGTTGCTTGAAGTTACTATAAAAAAAACTCATCAAAATACCAAAAAAGTGTTTTTCTAAGAGAGCATTCTAAAATTTTGTAATCTGTTTTACAATATTTTACCTCTATAACAACTATAACAACTGCCTAAATAAGACAAAAAATTTTACCCATAAATAATAGAATAATCCCTTTTTTTTTTTGAAAATTTCTCAAAACTTTCCGGAAAATTTCCCGAATTGAAAATATCAGGAAAAGACATTTAATTGCATATTTACATGCAATATGTAAACAAATATTTCATGTTACATAATTTATTAATAACTATTACATTTATTTTAATCATTTTCAAATAATCATATACATTTTTTCAGCTATATTAATAAAAGTAAGTGTATCATACAAATTGAATACTCAGATCTGAAAACAATTTCAAAAAACATACGATACGACTTATCAATTATCTTTATACGACTTATCAATTATCTTTATATTAATTTCATTTCATTAAAAGTAAACAAATTATAATTACTAAATAGAATTTTAAATATGTTTTTGCTAACCAGAAGAATT